GATAGATAGATAGATAGATAGATAGATAGATAGATAGATAGATAGATAGATAGATAGATAGATATAGATATAGATATTCCCCAAGGCTTTTACATGTTCCAATCCCCTTTGCTGTCCCTTTATGCCCACCATAAATTCCACTTCCTCCGCAGACCTATCTGCATTAAGCCTTGCGATTCCCATTTCTCATGGATTCTTTTTCCATTTCTTAGCCTTTAGAAAACAATTTAGCATTCGTCTAGCTCAAAAATGATGTTTGATACAAGTTAAATAAACAGTGTAGTTCCTATTATCTTGAATCAACAAACATGTTTCTTGTCTATTTCTTCTTCTTTAAAGCTCTTTACTAATATTTCTTTTGTGTAACAGCTGTCTTTTGTGGAGAGCCTGGTATTCCGGCTAATGGGAGACTCATTGGTAAAAGTTTCACGTACAGATCTGAAGTAACTTTCCAATGCAGACCATCTTTGATATTGATAGGATCTTCAAGGCGAGTTTGCCAAGCTGATGGTACTTGGAGTGGAATTCAGCCAACATGCATTGGTAATTTATTCATTTATTTGTTACCAGTGAGCAGCAAAGAAAGTGATACAGTGAAAAAGCAAAAAAAGAAGCAAAGTGATTAAGTAATTTGGAAGGGATTTGAAGAAATATTTGAAGGGCAACTGATTAGGAACAATGGTTTATCTTATTAGTATGGTGATCTGCTATGCCACCAACTGTTTAACAAAGCTTTGTTTTATTAATGGTTCTTTTTTGTGCTAAGGCAATGCATCATTGCCCACTGCTAAAAGAAAGAAATGTAATGGTACTCTACTAGTATCTTCTTTCCAATATGAATATGAAATATCTAGTAAACATGGACTAATCTAGATCAGATTTAACTTTCATCCCACTAAGGGGGTATAAAAAGTATACCCCTTGCATTCTGTGTTGATACTAAAACCCTGAGTTCAGAAGTTTCCCTGCCCTTCCTTTTAAATATTCGCACATCATTCATTGTTATAACTCTGTTGCTAAGTAGATATAACTGAAATGTTAAGATGTGTTTCAGAGAGTATGTAAACTTGTATGTGAGATTTTTATTTTCTTTCAATGATGAACCACTCTTAGATGTAAGCATCAGTTACATATGAGACAAATTATAGGAGTTTCTTTAAAGAAAACTTAAGAAATTGCTTCATCCAGTAAAGTACCAGACACAAAATCACAGAAAAGCTCTTCTGACTTGAAATAGATTTGACAGAGGGAGTCTCACATCACTCTAACTCTCTTCAGATATTCTCCCAAATGAGTGGCAAATGAAAGTGTGTATCGGGCAACACACCCTAGAAATGGCTCTAATGTCCTGTGCTACTTTTGCCCTGGCCACTCATTCTTCAAATTTCCCTATTGATGAACAATATGGGAAAGGGAATTCTGTTCACATTTGTTTGTTCACAAATTGAATTTTTCATCTGATCATCTTTAAGAGTATACTACTCAAAGGAACAAGTTTGGAAGGTAAGGAAGATGGAGCCTAACAAACAGGGGGCTTTTTGGACCCAGGCCATTTCCATTTCTTCACATATTTTCAGCAATTACACAATCAAATATCTGAACAGGGGGCTATATTCAAGTTCACTTAAGGTAGTACATTAAGACCCAAAATGGAACCTATGTGTTATTTTATATTTATTATTTATCATTCATTTTTAGCACATTATAATATAATTCCATGAGTTGTATTGTTGTATTGTTCCTATTTTACTTGTTTTTTGGCCTCATCCAGGCTCTTTTCCCAGAACATAGCATTTTTTTCAGGCTAATCTCCTTTTGCTTTATCTTAGTAATTTCCCCAAACTGTGTATCTCAGCCACACTATATCCCCTCTTGCCTACCTATCTGACAATGACAAAATTCAACCAGCTACCAGTATAAGACAAAGCAGTGTGATTGTCTTCTCCATATCACAAATAAGGCATCAGTAATGACCAGTGACTCAGTCTGGTATATTTAGATGAACTTGTCCCTATGGCAAAATGTCAATTTGTATTTTGGTGGTGTTGAATTGATTACGATTTCTCAGGTTAAAGGAACTCCTGGCAATGGAACACAATCCTTTTGAAGTCATATTCTTTTCCCTCTGAAATAGCTTCATTAAGTTGAAAGAATCTGATTTTTGTCTTCTCACATTTCTCTCTGTGAAGCAGCAGCATGTAAGTTGACTTTAACAACCATGTTAACCTATTTGAGAACAGCTCACTTCACTAATGCAGTACTGAAATGCTAAAGATCTTTAAAAAGAAAAAAGCAGGAAGAGAAAAAATACGATTAATATGTAGTTTCAGTTATTGTTCAAAGAGTTCATGTATTGATTATTAAAACACAGTGATACCCAGTGAAGTGGTTTTAGTAGTTGAAATTGCTGACAGTTACTATATGATAATTGTATGGCAAAGGATGTGTAATACCATACCCGAGAGGGAGAGGAAGTGTTGCAGATAGCTGACCAAAATGTCCCCAGTCTCTTTCTGTATATTTCCTGTTCATTGCTGTGTAGAGATCTCTGTCAATTTTGCCGAATTAATTTCCTCACCAATCTCTGATATGGTTGCCTTCCTCGTTTGTACATATAGGAATTACGGCATTGCTCCACTTCCTTAAAAGCTGTAGATACAGAAACAGTCCCTCATGGAAATAGTGGAAGAAAATATCCAGTTTTCTGGGGAGCAGAGCAATGTGGAAGGAACAGACTTCTCCTATCTGCTTATAATGCTCAGCCTATTCTTTGACAAGGCAAAGAAGACAAAAAATAGATGCAGGAGGAAATGCATATAAAAGTAGAGGCAAACTGAGGAAAGAAACTTTGAATCTCTCTAGTCAGTGAGTGGCCTAGAAACATCAGAAAACAGTGTATGTAACCTTGTGTCTGAGGTCAGAGGGCATCCAAGATTAACCAGCTTTTTTCGCTTTCCTCAAATGGCTTCATTAGGAGACAGGAAAGAACCTTCCTGGTTTTTGTGGAAAAATTGCATGGTATTTAGTCGAACTACTGTACTGTTGGAAAATTATTCTTGTGTCATCAATTAAGGGCTGTTAGCCAAAGTTATCAGATGCCCCCTCTTATTTTCAGTGTAAAACTAATCTGTGTGTTCAACAAAAAGAATATAATTCTGTTTCAAAATGCTACAAAGGCAGGAAGAAATTCAGTAATTTTGTTTTAAAAAGTTATGGTAGCAGGAGAGGAAGAGTTTGCATGTTCTCTCATAGGATAGATTCAAACATTAAAATCTCCACTCCAATCTGCAGTATGAGATGTTATAGGCAAAGGAGGGTTGTATGCCATGTACTTCTGTTTATCATAATAAGATATGCCAGTTGGGGTTGATTGGAATTGTAATAAAAGTTTTGTGTCCCTGCCATACCTTTCCTTTCTCAATGTATAGACATAGTTTTTGAGGGTAATACTAAACCACACAAATATTAGGACACTCATCCTCACTGAGAGGTGGTGTTGAAGTAAATCAGAACTTTAATTAAATACTCTAAGACAAATTGTTTTATAGTAATAATAATCCCTTATAAACAGCACTTCCCCAAAGGTGGCACTGTCTCCTTTTCAACTGCTGCACCTTCAAGACAGTCCTACAAATACTTAAAAAAAAAAATCAAAGATTATTTTCTGCTGCAGTAATATTGTTTTATTTTCCCATTAGCAGATGTATAGTCAAACGGCTGATGAACTTAAAAGTCCCTTGATTGCTCAAGTACATTTTTTTTTTAAAGTCATGTGTTAGGCTCCCAGCTGCCTGACTTCTAAAGCCTTTAAGATTTGCTTTGTAAATAAGTCCATTATGTATTCCAGTGACAAAATGATTGAAGTAACTGACTAGAATTGAAAATCAAACTACAAATATGAAATTGTGTATCCTAATTCTAGTGTATATGATTGCAAATACTGTGCACTGGAAATTACTATGAACTAGTAAAATGTCATCATTATGATAGATAAATGTGTGAGGAACTTTTGTACTGTAAGAACCCTTTGTGTTCCTTTGCATCCAGAAATGTATTTTATTCTTTCTCCTGCAGGATCCAGAGTACTTTGTCCCCTGGGCAGTCCTTTATAATTGTTCATAAGAATGATTGGCATTCCTGTGGCTAGACCCCATAATCATCATCATCATCATATAACACTTCCTTAACACTGACAAGAATATGTATTGATGAAGTCACCCCAGTTTGAGAACACTTTTTTTTCTTTTTAACAAAAGGCTACTTTTAGTAAATCCATGGTAAATTTTGTTACAAGGCACTAGCATTTTTGTTATTACTTTTATCATTATTTTTGTGGATAATATTAATATCATCAATATTGTTTTCCTTTTGTTGAAGTTGATCAGGAATTTGAGCTCAGTGGAGTTCTACTCACAATGTCTGATTAATAATGATTATTTCCTAATTCTTCCTACTGTAACCCTGCTTGCCTCCTGAATAGATGCTCTCACAAATGCTATGGGAAGTGGAGAAGAACGTCACAGGGGAAGTTGGCAGTCACTGCCTCTCTTTCCTCCAGTGGGAACTAATTGCTGGATTCGGTTCCTCTGTTTCCTCTAAAAGCTCATGGAGCCCTTCTGTGTGCAAGAGAGGCAGAACTTGATCTAACCTTTAATGATTATTCTATTTATCTTGGTATTGAGCCTATATGCTGATATATCAAAAAATAACCTCCATTTTTCATTCATAATCAAGTTTTAAAAATAATTAAAGAATAAGGAGCTTTGATAAAAACACGCTACTCCTACACATGCAAAAGTTTTGTTTAAAGACACATATAAGCATATGTACTGATTCTATGACAATTGAATTAAAAGAGCCAAATGTTCAAAGAGATCAATGTAATAAATGTAACATTGTATTAAGGAGTATCAAAAGAAGCCTAATTCCCACATCTTGCTGTAGTCTCCATGTATTCCGTAAATCTGATCTGGGGGATTTGAGATTTGCTTCAGAGCAAATTTGATAGAGTTTAGGGATCTACAAGGAAAGCAGTTAATTTCCCTGATCTGATCACAATACTTTCCTCTTACATTATATGCTTGTGCAATACTTGGTGTCCTTGATTCAATAAAAATGTGTCTTGGATTAAGAGAGATAACTTTAATTTTCCATTCAACCTAATATCTGTTATCACTTTATTAAATAAACATTTTATTACAGACCTTGCTTTGAATATGCACATATTCCTTCAAAATTTGGAAATAATTTATAAAATGAGCCTATCCATATAGAACCTCCTAATCCATTCCCTGCCTCATCTGTTTTCAACTACAGATCCTGCTCATAACAGCTGCCCAGACCCTGGAACACCACATTATGGAATCCAGAACAGCTCTACAGGTTATGAGGTATTGTTTTCCTATATTGTTCAGGGTTTATTTTTGCCATTGCATTTTGAATATTTGTGTATGTGTGGGTATGTGTCTTTGAGTCAGTGTTGGTTCCTGGCAACTGCAAGATTTTCAGAAGTGGTTTGCCATTGCCTTCTTTCTAGAGCTGAGTGAGAGTGCCCAGCCCAAGGTCACCCAAATGGCTTCATGTCTAAGTCACGACTAGAATTCATAGTCTCCTGATTTTTATCCTGGTGCCTTAAACTGGTTCTGATTGTATAGTTTAGGATGACCAATTTTGATTTGCTAGAAATTTACATTTTGTACTGCCTCAGTCCATTCTTCATCAGCATTTAAAATCCTATCATATTTATTGGGAATAAGGAGAACTTTGCTTAATTCACACATCAAAGTGAACAGACCTAATCTGTGCTTCCCAATTTAATATGTGAACTGTATCTCAATTATTCTTTAGTTAACATCTTTTTCAGAGTTTTGCAATGCAATATTTATTTATTTATTTATTAAGCTTGTCCCCGCCCATCTCCCCCCAATGGGGGACTCTGGGTGGCTTACAACATATTAAAACAATAAATAAA